ACCCAGGTCAAGGATGCAGAAAAACATAGGAAGCTCACTGGCCTCTTCTCTGCGCTGCTCCTCCGCCATGCGCTGTCTCTCCTCCTCCTCTTTCTGCGCCTGACAAACGTCTTTCTGCCGCTGCTCCTCGGCAGCCATCCGAGTGCTCTCTTCTGCTTCTCGGCGTTCCTCTTCTCTTTGCAGCTCCTCTTGACTCGATCGCGACAAACCGAAGGTACAATGCATCAACAGAACAGACAGAACTTCACTGAATACAGAAATTTGCAGGGTGTCGAACCAACAAAGTCAACCAATGGTAGAACCTACCGCGCTGGACGCGAACACGAAGGGTCTGCCCCAGTCGGCACCCCTCCTCCATCTGTCGCCGTGCTTTTTCTGCCTGCACACGTTCACGCAGCAGTTGCTCTTCCGCGGCCATCCGTGCGAGCTCTTCAGCTTCTCTGTGCTGCTGCTCTTGTCGCAGTCGCTCCTGGCAAGTCACCACGTGACACAGAAAGGACTGCGAAGGCCTGGCCTCTTCTCGGCGCTGCTCCTCTTCCAGGCGCTGTCTCTCCTCTGCCTCTTTCTCCGCCTGGGACAGAAGTTATGTGCTGTCACTTCACAGCGCTAGTCAGAAAGCACTTGGCTGCATCTTGAACAGCTGCAACACTGGAACGGCAGGTGATGTGTCGACAAACGTGGAAAACACGTAACCATCTGTCGCTGCGCTTCTTCTGCCTGCGCATGTTGCAACCATTCTTCCACGGCCAGTCGTGAACTCGCTTCCGCTTGTCTTTGCTCTTGCTCTTGTCGGCGTCGCTCCTGTAAAACTCCCCTACTTTAGGCTCCAACCTACCATTCGCACTGCCATGTCTACAGGGCTACTAGTCGCGACCTGGAGAAACATGGACTGGCCTCTTCTCTGCGCTCCTCCTCCTCCATACGCTGGCTCTCCGCCTCCTTCTCTGCCTGGGCAAGGTCCCGCTGCCGCTGCTCCTCCATGGCCAAACGTGTACTCTCAACGACTCTG